AGTAGAACAAAGCGATCTAGATGTAGTGGGGATCCAAGAGACGTGGGAATTAAAGGGGATGTGGTACGCAAACTGGCGAAATACCGGTGGGTAGGGAAGGCAAGAAAGGGCTTAGACCCGAAGAAAAGGGGGGAGGGGGGAGTCGGATTTCTGGTCAAGGAACACTTGTTTGACGTGGTGGAAGTNTTGGAAATAGTGGACCAAGTAGAACAAAGCGATCTAGATGTAGTGGGGATCCAAGAGACGTGGGAATTAAAGGGGATGTGGTACGCAAACTGGCGAAATACCGGTGGGTAGGGAAGGCAAGAAAGGGCTTAGACCCGAAGAAAAGGGGGGAGGGGGGAGTCGGATTCCTGGTCAAGGAACACTTGTTTGACGTGGTGGAAGTAGTGGTGAAAACGGAGTTCGAGCAAAGCCTATGGCTTATGATACTTGGCGAGCGGGGTTAGAGAGATTTGTTTTTAGGGAACGTATACGTCCCACCGTCGTCGAAGAAGGTCGCAAGCAAGGCGCAGGAGAACTTTGGACAAATCGGGGAAGATGTCCAGAGGTTCAGTAGAAAGGGAGAAGTTGTCATGGTGAGCGATTTCAACTCCAGAGTGGGGAAAGCTTCCAGTAGAGGACAGGCGATCGGGCAGTACGGGGAAGACAAAGTGAATGACAACGGAGTGAGGATGCTTGAATTCTTCGGAAGCAACGAGCTGATGGCGTTGAACGGTAGGAGGGAATGCGATAAGCCGGAGTTCACCAGACAAAGGGCAATTTGCAATGAATACTCGATCCTCGACTACATATTGGTAGATAGGGGGAGCACACAGATCCCAGGGCTGCACGTAAGTGCGGTAGATATAGGTTCGACCGACCACTTCCTCATATGGGCAAACATCGACCGGTCTAGGAAGATGGAGATTAAGAAACAGCGGAAAGTGTTTCGGTGGCAAGTAGAGCGTTTGGGAGACGAGGGGACACGGGATTAATTCCAGAAGGGACTGGCTCGTAGTATAGCACCCTTCAGGAAGCTGCTGAGAAGCGTCGAAGCCGGACAGGTAGACGTACAAGCAGCAGGGGGCAGGGTAATTGAACTCCGGGAGTCCATAGTGAACACAACGGCAGCGAGAGTAGTGGGAAAGAAGGTGGTACGGTGTAGGGTATCAATTAAGTGGTGGGATGACGAGCTGAAAGGAAGAAATAGGGGAACGTTGAGAATCCTTCAAGCAGCACGTGAGTGAGGGGTCTGAGGAGAGTTGGGAAACGTACAGGGCTACGAGAAAACAGGTGAAAGGACTGGTGAAAATAAGAAAGGGTGCACTTGGGACGAAGTAGTGCAGAAGGCCAACGGAGGCCTGGAGGAGAACGTCACGCAGATGTGGGAAGGGATTAGTGGAATGGCAAAAAAGACCTCGCAAGGGGGGGATACAGGGGTAGAAACTTTGCGAGTTGTGAACGGTGGACTAGTCAGCAGTGGGAAGGGAAAAAGGGAAGTTCTAGCAGGACATTACAAGAGACTTGGAGTGCTTTCGGAGAATGAAGCTTTTGACCAAGTATTTAAGAAGGAGGTGGACTCATGGGCCCAGAAAGAAGAAGAGACGTCCGAGGCAGACGTTGGGAACGCAGAACTTGAAAAGGAGTTCACTGAGGACGAGGTTGAGGCGTGTGTGAACAAGCTGAAGTGCCACAAATCAGCAGGAGCGGATGGGATGGTCAACGAGTTCATGAAGTTTGGGGGGAAGGGGATGATCCAGCTGATGGTACTGCTGTACAATTGGGTGTGGAAAAAAGAGTATGCGCCAAGTAGATGGAGGCAAGGAGTGGTTGTGAACTTGTTGAAGAAAGGAGACAAGAATGACCCAGGAAACTACAGGGGGATCACACTGTTGAACACAGTAGGAAAAGTGTTCTGTATGCTGCTGAACGATAGGATAGTGGGAGTATTGGAGAAGGAACATAGCATTAGTGAGGGCCAGGCAGGTTTCCGCAAGAAGAGGGGGTGCGTAGACTACGCATTCACAGTAGGAAGAATCATCCAAGGTAGAAAGAGGGCGGGCAAGCTGACGTACTGCTTCATCCTGGACGTGAAAAAGGCAGACGATACCGTATGGAGATAATGGGCTGTGACACACTTGTCCGAGTACGGGATCAAGGGGAAAATGTGGAGAGTGCTGAACAAGATGACCGAGTGTACGAAGAGCGCGGTCATGGTAGACGGAGAACTGTCTAAATTCTTCGACATTGAGCAGGGGGTTCCACAAGGTTGCACGCTGTCTCCAACATTGTTCTAGGTGTTCGTCAACGATCTGTTGGAAGTCGTAGAGGCAGTCCGGAAGGGAGTAATAGTAGGGGACACGGAAACTTCGGTGTCAGGAATGCTGTCTGCGGATGATTTCATCGGTATGTCGGATACCCCTGAGGGACTGCAACTGCAAATTGACGCGGCGNTCCAACATTGTTCTAGGTGTTCGTCAACGATCTGTTGGAAGTCGTAGAGGCAGTCCGGAAGGGAGTAATAG